TTTTCCAGAATTCGACTCCAACTTCAAGCTGCTGCAAAGCCAAGAATTCTGCATCCCAGACCATTTGATGATCCATGACTGGGCCTTTACAGATTCTCATTACATATTGATTGGAAATAGAATCAAATTAGATGTTGCAGGTAACTTTATTTTATTCTTTTCACCATTTGTTAATTTTATTTTCCTCTCATAAATTTTGGCATGACATAATGACTATGTTTAATTAGTTGATAGTTGATTGAATAATTAGCAACTTTGATTTGTTGATTATACCAAGTATTTTGTAAATAGTCAGTTGTTTGAATCTTGAAAAATATTTTATTCCAAAAATCTCCTATATTGAGATTTTTAAAAATTAGTTTTTTGGAACAAAAATGCTATTAAATCACTAAATACCTAATAATTTAATTAGACGCTTAAACGGTCAAACATCTAATTCACCTCAAAAACCTCCATCTTCTCTAGTTAATTTTTTATATTTTTCTTTCAAATTTGTACAATTTCAGGTTCAATGGCAGCTGTTTGTGGCTTATCACCCATGATATCTGCATTGTCACTCAATCCAAGCAAATCCACCACCCCAATTTATTTGCTTCCAAGATTTCCTAATAATTCTCAACAGCCAAACAGGCCCCTGAGAGATTGGAAAATTCCTATTGAAGCCCCATCTCAAATGTGGGTACTTCACATGGCAAATGCCTTTGAAGAAAGGGGTGTTGATGGGAATCTTGAGATTCAAATCCAAGCCAGTAGCTGCTCTTATCAGTGGTTCAATTTCCAGAAAATGTTTGGTAAATAATCTCTATGTTTGTTGTGCTTAGAGTTGTTAAACAAAATAAGTCACTTGTAAGCTCAGCTAGTTTATTAGGCTCGCTAGACTTGATAAATATTATTATTATGTTTTTTTAACGTATTTTTCTAAATTTTTATCTTATATCGGCTCGTTTATCAGTTCAGTAAGGGCTTGAGCCCGAATTTGAGTAGGAGTTTGAGCTCCACCTGACTCGTTTACAACTTTGTTGTGCTATTTTTTTTATTATTTTTTTTTTCAAATAGCAAACAAAGGTGTTTCCTTTTTCTGTTTCATATTTAGTGTTCGGCATGTAATTTGTTTGTCCCACAAAATTTTTTTATTTCTGTGGAGATGTGTTTTAAGGAAACAAATCTTCACATGGTTAATTATTTTGCAAATTTTAGTTAAACAAGTATACTAATAAACTAAGTTTAACAAAAATTTGAATGTGATTTTTCAAGAAGTGAAGAGTTTTCTTGCTTGATTTGTATTTTCCAGGATATGACTGGCAAAGTGGTAAATTAGACCCTTCAATGATGAATTTAGAACAAGGCCAAGAAAAGTTGCTCCCTCACTTAATCCAGGTAATTTTTCCCATTTCCAAATTTTTTTTCCTCTTTATTTTCCTTATAAAATTACAACACCATAATAAATTATACTTTCTCATGGGTAAACAAAATTTATGCAGGTGAAGATAACCTTGGATAGCCATGGAGCCTGCAAAAATTGCCAAGTTAATGATCTAAGCCAATGGGAAAAGCCTTCGGATTTTCCGGTCATCAATCAAGAATTTTCCGGCAAGAAAAACAAGTTCGTTTACGCTGCCACGTCATCAGGCTCACGACGCGCGTTGCCACATTTCCCATTCGACACGGTGGTGAAGCTAAACACCACGAACAAGTCCACGTTGACTTGGTCAACGGGTAGAAGAAAGTTCATTGGCGAGCCAATTTTTATCGCGAAACGTGACAAAAAAGACGAAGATGATGGTTACCTCCTTGTGGTAGAAGTCAGTTATATATACCAAAATGAATCGTTTTGAGCAATTGAATTTGTCCTAAGATATGTATATATGAAAGTTTTTAAATTTGGTACTTTTACTGTTATTATTAATTGCTAACAACATTAAACCTTGAAATTTGCAGTATGCAGTTTCAAACCAGATGTGCTATCTTGTTGTACTTGATTCCAAGTTGATTGGGAGGAACAATGCTTTAGTAGCAAGGTTTGAGGTCCCCAGGCATTTGAATTTCCCTCTTGGATTTCATGGATTTTGGGCCCCTGATGTTTCACACAGTCCTGTAAATAGCCCAGTATCAAGGCCCAACAAAGAATTAGCTCTCACTTTTTAGATGGGCCTTTAGAAATATATTCCACAAGAAATGGTATATAGAAATGGCACCACCTGCTGTGCTTGCTGTGGACTATTGTAGCATATGAGCTACAAATAATGTGAATAATTTTCCTAAGTCTTAATGCATAATTTTTGTCTTTGAAGACTTGCACCATAATTATTACATGTTCGTTCAAATACATATACAAGTGAGTTCGAGCTCAGCTCTTTAATGAGTCACACTATATTAAAGTTTAAAAGATTACGTAAGCCTCATATTTATTAAGTCTAATGAGTCAAACCAGACTCGTTATCTAAACGAGACTTAAATAAGATCGAGTTTGTTGAGTTTATCAAATGAGCAAATCCGAACCAACCTCGTAAGCGACTCGTTTCGTTTAACAGTAAATAAATTAACTTAATAGAATATCTGAATAATTCAAAACCGCGTTTAGTAAATTCTTAATGTACGATAATATTAAATTATTATTTGAAAATAAAATAATAGTTAATCCATAAGTTAGTTATAGATGATTTATCTATAAAAAATTAGTGTTAAATATTACTTTTATAAACATTTGAAATTTTGATTATGAGACAATATTTAAAATGAGTCGTGCTACACTGTCAAAATGCATTATATTTTAGCTTATCGAATATACATATAATTTTAGTTGTTAAATTAAATAAGATGTTTCGACTTATAAAGACTCGGATAGACTTGGTTCGTTCTCGAGCTTATTTCAGTAACAAAAATAGGTTTGTCAGCTCCTTAAAACTCGAAATATGATATTTTATGTATTTTTTATAATTTGAATAGATAAAAATCAAGCTTTAAACTTTAATAATTAATGATCATAAAAAATGAACAATCCATATTCCACATCGGTTATGCTATGAAGCCAACAGTTGGCTCCATAGTGGAGCCAACCTTCTCTATATAACAAGTAAACCTACCATATTCTTTGATTACTTAAACAACACTAATAGAATTTTGTTAATATGGTAGGTTTATTTTTTGTATATAGAAGGTTGGCTTCACTATGAAGCTAACAGTTGGCTCCATAGTGGAGCCAACCTTCTCTATATAACAAGTAAACCTACCATATTCTTTGATTATTTAAATAACACTAATATAATTTTATTAATATGGTAGGTTTATTTGTTGTATATAGAAGGTTGGCTCTACTATGAAGCCAACTGTTGGTTCATAGCAAAACCAGATTCCACATATTAAACCTCTTCAATTGATGATGATTGTAAAGTCTATGGTGAGCATGAAGAAACAATTGAGCATGTCTTTTTCAGTTGTGACATAGCCAAGATTATCTGGGAACTCTCACCGGTGAATTGGGATGGTCTGAAGGGCTATGAATTCAGTTTTAAGAGCTGTTGGTGGGGGGTCTACTCAATTGACAAAGGCTTAACTGCTGAAAAGAGGATCCAGTTGTCCACCTACATCTTGTGGTGGCTCTGGAAATCAAGAAATCATTCATATTCAAGAACTCATTGATCCCTGAGCATGAAGTAGTAAAAGCAGCAATTCAGGAGTGGCTGGAGTTTTCAGAAGTATTGGCTGCAAGGAGAAGTTGACATGAGTTGGAGTGACTAGGTCTCCATGGAGTTCAGTGGTCCTCTACATCTGCTTCTTTCTTGTAGGTAGTTGAATGTATTTTTGTATTTAATGCATCTGAGATTTCAAGTATTTCTTACCTTAGATGTATTTTATATCCATTTGGTTGTATTCTAGGCCACTATTCCGGTGGTTCTCCGATTTGTATTGGGACTACTTGGTCTCGCGGATTGTACATTTTATTTGATATTAATCTATCTATCGTTTTGGGNCAAGTTTTATCATTTTAAATGCTAAAAACTATTTAAAAGTTAAAACTACCTTTTTGCCATTTATTCACGGAAAGGTCCCAACGTAGTAGCAACTATCAAGTGAAATTGTGAAAAGCCACCCTCGCCCAGTGACTGCAATCACATATTTCCCAAATTTCAAAACCCTTTCCCCCCAACTGAGAATCGCCCCATCTTCATTTTATCTGCTTAATTTCAACGCCACATCCGCCGCCGCCGCCTCAGCCTCTACCGCCACCGCCATGGCCGGCACGGGTTTATCATTCTCCAGCACATTCTCGTCGTCGTCCCCTGGTTTCTCCAACCCTAGCTCCGCAGCATCCGCTTCTTCTTTTGGTTTCGGCGCCGCGACGCCTCCTTCTGCCCCCGCCGCCTCCCCATTCGGCGGCTCCTCACTCTTCGGCTCGTCATCTTCCGCCGCAGCGGCGCCGTCCTCTAACTCATTCTCCTTCGGCGGCTCCTCTTTCTTTGGTTCGTCCTCGGCAACGCCGTCCGCGGCCTCGTCTCCTTTCGGCGCCCCGTCTATATTTGGGTCCTCAGCAGCTTCGGGCGCTGCCCCCTCCCCGAACATATTCGGATCTACTTCTGCTGCCGCCCCAGCTCCGAGCATATTCGGATCCTCACCGTCCCCTGCGCCTGCAGCTAGTTTATTTGGATCCGGGTCGGCTCCAGCCCCGTCTCCAAACATTTTCGGGTCGTCCTCTGGTGGAGCCCCCACATCTAGCCTTTTCGGTTCATCTTCTTCAGGTGCAGGACAGACGACCAACCTCTTTGGCAACACTTCTGCAGCCGCTCCTTCATCCCCCTTGCCTTCTTCATCTCCATTCGGCACATCAACAGTATTCGGAACCCCTGCTCCAGGATCTTCAAACCTATTTGGGTCGAGCACACCAACATCCAGCCCGTTTGGTGCATCGTCAACTGCTCCTTCAACCACCAGTGCCAGCACACCTCTATTCGGGTCCAGTCCATTTGGATCAACCTCAACAGCAGCTACTCCAACTACCCCTGCACCTCTATTTGGATCGGGTTCAGCTCCGAACGCAGGTGTATTTGGATCATCATTTGGGTCGGGTGCTGCTCCGACTGCCACCCAAGCTAGTGCATCTTTATTTGGGTCGGGTGCTGCTCCAGTGTCAGGCATATTTGGATCCTCGTCAGCCTCAAACCAGACGACTACTGCTAGCACTACACCATCATTGATTGGAGCAAGTTCTGGTTCTACTCAGGGTGTATTTGGGTCATCCTCATTGTTCGGAACATCTTCACCTGTCCCAGCTTTTGGTGTATCATCGAGTTCAGCTTTATCAGCATCCGGGTTCTCGTTCCCAAGTGCCTCAACTTCAGCTTCGTCGGCATCCGGGTTCTCATTCCCAAGTGCCTCAACTTCAGCTTCATCGGCATCCGGGTTCTCATTCCCAAGTGCCTCAACTTCAGCTCCATCGGCATCTGCATCAGCTTCGTCCACTCCCTCCTTTTCACTTTCTTCGGCTCCTAGCTCTAGCAGTACTTCTGATTTTTCATTCTTGAAGAGCACCTCCAATTCTGCAGCCTCGTCATCAGCAGCAGTTACTTCACTTTCTTCACCTGGTTCTTTGTTCGGGGTGTCTGGGGCTTCATCATCTGCTTTTTTGTCCTCCTTTTCCAGCCCGGCCACTTCAAGACCGGCTACATTTGGTACCACCACCCCTTCTTCTCTGTTTTCGACAGTTACAACTACTACAACTGCCAATGCCTCAGCTCCAGCTTCATCGAGTGCTTCTGGTGCCAGTGTTATATCTGGTTTGGCCTTTCCATCATCCAGTGGTACCTCTTCTACAGTGACTGCAGGATCAATAACCAATGCATCTACTCCATCTTCGAGTTTTACTGGTTTTGGTACAAGTAATGCAGCTGCATCAGCTGGTGGAAGCACTAGTTCTTTCTCACTGTCCTTGAAAACACCCACACCTGGTGCACCATCTTCTTCGCAAGCCCAATTAACTGCTGCGGTCCCCTCGTTTGGTAATGTTTTTCTTTCTTTGAGTCTGCTCTTGTTCTTATTCTTTTGTATGCTTTAAAGAGCTACTGTACATTACTTTTATCTGCACTGTTTTTAAAGTAGGGTTGAGTTTATTGGCCTTCATTGTTGAAATAATTGAAGAAATGTACTGCATATGTGCGACTTTTTTGTTTGTACTCAGGAGTTATATTTTTTCGCAATGGAAACTCTAACATCATCATGATCATCATCTCATTTCATTCTTATGTACTTTTGTTAATATATGTTGTTGGCATCATTTGTCAGTTTGAAGCAGCAGTTTGTTAGTGTACAGATTCAGACAAGTTAAATCCTGCAACTTGTTGTTAACTCTCATAGCTGGCTTTTGTGCTTGTTGTTATGTAATTGTTTATTCATAGTCAGAATCAGTAAAGAAGATATTATTTGGGTGCTTGTTATAGATGATATTGTTCAGGTGCTTAAGTGTATAACATGATTTCTTCTATCAGAATGTCCACTTCTCACGTGATTTTCAATTAGGTTTTTGTTCAATGATGAGATGAGGAACCTTGCTCTTTTGTTGTTTTCTCCTACATTTTAATCTGAAGACCTTTTCTTTCAACACCTTCCTTATTCGGCAATTTGATGTATTACTTGTGCCAGGCGTGACTGGGGGTATAACAGCTACAACGAGCTCAAGTAGCAGTTCTGCAGCTCAAACATCATCTGCTTTGGTTGTGGCTTCCAGTAGTGGGTCTGTATACCTCCATAACATAAGCTTATCTCAATAATGAAAGTATTGATGTCCTGAGTTTTTATCTTTTTTTTTTTACTGGATCTGCAGGACTACTTCAACAACTGCAGCTTTAGCCTCTGCACCTAAGTTACCATCTGAAATTACAGGGAAAACAGTTGAGGAGGTAAATAAAGTTCTCGTAAATATTTATTTTATATTTAATGCCAGAACAAAGTTACGTGGTCATTTTTGTCCTATAAATTACTGGGTTGGACTTGGGCATTTACAACATGGTAGACATATCCGGTTTGCTTCTGCCGTGCCATTTTTATGATGATTTGTATTTTATTTTATTTTTGTAGATCATCAAGGAATGGAATACTGAACTACAGGAGCGCACTGGCAAGTTTAGAAAACAAGCTAATGCTATTGCCGAGTGGGACCGAAGGATTCTTCAGAATCGTGATATCCTTCTCAAGCTTGAGGTATTCAATAATTACCAGTTACCACGGCAGGAAGCATATCATTTTATTTTTAGCCAATGCGTCCAATGAAATTGCACATATTTCCTTCCTAGTGAAATAGTTGATTTATTACAAAACACATGGAAAAACAATAATACTTTTCTACTCATCATTTTATAATACAAGTATTTGATAATTTGATCATATATTTATATGTTTCAAGCTTAAATGCTAATGTTATACTCGAAAAAAATTTGATGTTTTGATAATGCTTATTTGTACTCTAATGTTGGTATGCCCTTGGGAATCATTGTCTGTTGGTTCCCACACTTGGCACATTTTCCGCAGACTGAGGTAGCGAAGGTGGTTGAGACACAAGGTAGTTTGGAGCGGCAGCTAGAGCTAATTGAAACTCATCAAGATGAGGTGGTTTACTGATGTCATTATTGCCATCTTGTTTCCATTTTCATGCTTATCTGTTTGGAACAACTGAACAACCTTTGAGCCACTAGTGTGTACTTCCCATCATGTCTCAAACAGTCATATATTCTTCAGTATTCTTGTTATAATATCATGAATGAGCTAAATCTACAGCTTTTGTTGTGTTTCATGTATTAATTAGGTAGACAAGGCCTTGCAGAGTATGGAGGAAGAAGCTGAGAGGATGTACCGAGATGAGCGTGGATTGCTTCTTGACGATGAAGCTGCATCCACAAGAGATGCTATGTAAGCACAGGCTACCTATTATTTACACACATGCGCACACTATATATATCAATATATGTATATTATCATATTTCTTTGTCCTTTTGGGTCTATCGATCTCTCGTTATTGTATCTTAGAGAATGTCATCGTGCTTTACTTTTCAATTAAGCATGTTGGATACTGTGGTGGGCACAAAGGTTTTGGTGTGTGTATGACAAAGTGTTAAATATCATATTCCCTTTAGAGATTTTAATGGAGCTAACTGTGAAAATGATACATAAATTTCTTTTCATGCTATTTAAATTGTTGGATATGTTACCCATTGGTGGGTTTGTGCAATGATGAAAGCTAGTTGCTCCACTTAACCTTTTTTCTTATTTCTGACTTAAGGTATGAGCAGGCTGAAGTGGTAGAGCGGGAGCTCGAACACATGACAGAACAAATTAAATCTATTATTAATACTCTGAATGCCAATCAGGTAACTGTCCGTTTTTTCGTAACCTTTCAGTTTTATTTATATTTTTCCATAAAATGAGATTAGGAGTTGTAATTTCTCAAATAATTATGAAATTAGGGTGGAGAGCTCGAGGCAACTGATGGAATGACTCCACTCGATGCTGTTGTCCGAATATTGAACAATCAATTGAGTTCATTGATGTGGATTGATGAGAAGGTTACATTCCAAAACTCTTTTAAATTATTCTTCACTTGGTTTGAATTTTTTCACTCGGGTCAAATGCACCGATCAATTCCATGAAGTTGAGAGTATATATTGTAAGAAATATATAATCTGCTGTTTCCTTGCAGCTTCATTGCAATAGCAATGCAAATTCCTTGCAGCTGCAAAGCACCTTCATAGCAGCCATTATGGGCTGATTTTTCAGCTTAAGTAATTTCTAGGAAAGTCACTAGGTAGTTGTTTTTAGTTCTTATAAATAGGGATGTAGTTTTGTATTTGTAAACACAGCAAAAACTGAATAATCAATACTTTGAGTTGTTCAATATCTTCTTCTATCCTAAAAGTGTCCGTTTGTGTCGGGAAGCATTTTTGCTTACACGAACAGTGCATCCTAGCTGCAAATAAAGACGAGCAGGGACTAACAAGTGGTATCAGAGCCATGGCAAGCCAAGATGCTGCGTCGATGGTGCAAGGGAGCGGTGCACACGCTTCACCGCGCCAGGAGGTCATCATCCACAGGACCGTACGGGACGTTGGCGGGGCCAACTGGCCGGTCCTCACACGCACAAACTATGGCGAGTGGGCGGTGCTGATGAAGGTCAAGTTGCGTGCGCGTAAGCTATGGCGGGCCATTGAAGAAGGCACCGAGGATGAAGAAGAGGACTGTGCAGCGATGGAAGCGATTCTATCCGCTGTGCCTCACGAGTACGTGGAGTCGCTGGGCGTAAAGGACTCCGCAAAGGCTGCTTGGGACGCCCTCAAGGCCATGCGCATCGGGTCTGATCGCGCAAAGAAGGCGAAGGCGCAGCAGCTGCGGCGGGAGTATGAGGCGCTGGTGTTCCGCGACGGCGAGGCAGTGGAGGATTTCTCGCTCCGTCTGCAGTCGCTCGTCAGTCAACTGGCGGCGCACGGCGTCACCATCACCGACGAGGAGGCGGTCGCGAAATACTTGCGTGTCGTGCCACCTAAGTACGCCCAGATCGCGCTCTCCATCGAGACGTTGATCGACATGTCCACCCTCACGATTGAGGATGTGACTGGGCGCTTGCGGGCGGTCGATGACCGTGTGGAGACGGCGACGATAACTACCAGCGGCAAGTTACTGCTGACCGAGGAAGAATGGGCAGCTCGTATGCGCGAGAGGCGGCCCGGGGAAGGCTCCTCCAGCCGTGGCGGCTACGGCAAGCGTCGTAGCAAGGCCCCGCAGAAGAAGAAGGACGGCGACAACGTGCGTCCGATCGACAAGGACACTTGTCGACGCTGCGGGAAGACAGGACACTGGGCCCGGGATTGCAAGAATCCCAAGAAGGAGAAGAGGGAGGCACACCTCGCGCAGGTAGACGACGAGGAGCCAACTCTTCTAATGGCAACGACCTGCAAGTTGCACGACGTTGAGCCAGAGTTAGAGGAAGTCAAGGCGGCGGTTGCAGAGCAGGGGAAGGCACTACAGGTCGTTCACCTCGACGAGTCAAGTGCCCAAGTCCACCTTGGACGAATGGGCGGTGGCATGGAGCAGAGGTGGTACCTAGACTCCGGCGCCAGCAACCACATGACCGGCTCCAAGGAGGCCTTCTCCGAGCTTGATGACGGCGTGACGGGGACGGTGAAGTTCGGAGACGGCTCAAAGGTGGAGATTCGAGGTCGCGGCAACGTCATCTTCCGGTGCCAGAACGGCGAGCACCGCGCATTGACGGATGTGTACTATATCCCGCAGTTGCGTTCAAGCATCGTCAGCATCGGGCAGTTGGACGAGCACGGCTGTGAGGTGCTTGTCAAAGGCGGCGTGCTAAAGCTCAGGGACCGAGACCAGCGGCTGTTGGCCAAGGTCCAGCGTTCCCGGAACCGCCTCTACCTCCTCGACTTGAAGGTGGAGCAGCCAGTGTGCTTGGCAGTACGACACACCGAAGAGCCATGGCTATGGCATGCTCGTTTCGGCCATTTGAACTTCGACGCACTCGGCCGGCTGAGGAAGATGGTGCGCGGGCTCCCGCACATCGAGCACGCAGGCGAGCTGTGCGACAGCTGCCTGGCAGGGAAGCAGAAGCGGCTGCCCTTCCCAAAGGCGGCCAAGTATCGTGCGGCGGACGTCCTAGAGCTCGTCCACGGCGACCTCTGCGGGCCGATCACACCGGCTACGCATGGCGGACGGCGCTACTTCCTGCTGCTCGTGGATGACTGTAGCCGTTTCATGTGGCTGCAGCTCCTGACGAGTAAGGATCAGGCAGCAGAGGCAATCAAGCGGTTCCAGGCGCGAGCCGAGGTAGAGTCTGGGAAACGGCTGCGCGTGCTGAGGACGGATCGCGGTGGCGAGTTCACATCGGTGGAATTCGCTGCGTACTGTGCAAACCAGGGGGTGGTGCGCCATCACACTGCGCCGTACTCACCGCAGCAAAACGGTGTAGTGGAGCGGCGGAATCAGACCGTGGTGGGCATGGCCCGAAGCATGATGAAGGCAAAGGGCATGCCAGCGGAGTTCTGGGGAGAGGCTGTGAGCACGGCAGTGTTCATCCTCAACCGTGCGCCCACAAAGGCCCTGAAGGGCATGACGCCATTCGAAGCTTGGCATGGTAGGCAGCCCGACGTCTCGTTTCTAAGGACGTTTGGGTGCATTGGCCATGTGAAGAAGACGAAGCCCTTCATGTCCAAGCTTGAGGATAGGAGCACACCGATGGTGTTCCTAGGCTACGAGGAGGGGAGCAAGGCCTATCGGCTCTACGATCCACGTGGAGGCAAGGTGGTGGTTTCGCGGGATGTGGTGTTCGACGAAATGGCGGCCTGGGATTGGGAGAATCCTGGCACGGGGGAAGCCCGTGGCGTTGGCGGTACGTTCGTCATCGAGCATTTGGTGATCCACGGAGGAGGAGATGTGGGAGTAGAGGAGCCAGCTGCGGACGCGCCAAGTCCAACAGCTGTGGCGGCGTCGGATGAGCCGCAAAGTCCTGCCATGACGGGCACGGGCGAAGAATCTCCACCAGTGGCTGCACACACACCCTCACCACATTCCCCTACTGCGGCAGGACAGGGGACATCTCCGACGACAGTTGAGTTCGCCTCTCCTCCAAGCGACATCGACGAGTATGTGGATGCCTTCCACGACGGCGAGGGGGTGAGGTTTCGCAGGATGGACAACCTTGTTGGCAACTCGGCGGTACCAGGCTTAGCGAGCCGATTACTCGATGATCAGGAGCTGCTCCTCGTCAGCGCAGAGGAGCCATCGACTTTCGCGCAGGCCGAGGGAGATGTCAATTGGAGACGAGCTATGCTAGAGGAGATGAAGGCGATCGAGGAAAATGAGACGTGGGAGCTCGTCGATCCACCTCCAGGCTGTCATCCAATCGGGCTCAAATGGGTCTACAAAGTCAAGCGGGACGAGTGTGGCGCCATAGTCAAGCACAAGGCGCGCCTCGTTGCTCGCGGTTTCGTCCAGCGAGAGGGCATCGACTTTGAGGAAGTTTTTGCACCAGTGGCGCGCATGGAGTCAGTTCGCCTACTGCTAGCCATGGCGGCAGCAAAGGACTGGCGCATTCATCACCTGGACGTGAAATCGGCCTTCCTAAATGGAGAGCTAGCGGAGACTGTTTTCGTCAAGCAAGCCCCGGGCTTCGTCGTCAAGGGAAAGGAGCACAAGGTGCTACGGCTGCGGAAGGCACTCTATGGGTTGCGACAAGCCCCGCGAGCGTGGAACGCCAAGCTCGATGCCACTCTGGGTACGCTTGGGTTCACGCGCTGCGAGACTGAGCACGCGCTCTACACGCGACGACGGGGGAAGGAGGAGCTCGTCGTCGGCGTGTATGTAGATGACTTGATCATCACCGGGGCACGAGAAGGGGACATCAACGGTTTCAAGCACGAGATGGCAGCTCGTTTCCGCATGAGCGATCTCGGGCAGCTCTCCTACTACCTCGGCATCGAGGTGAAGCAGGGGAGAGACTCCATCACTCTCTGCCAGCGTGCGTATGCGGGGAAGCTGTTGGAGCGGAGCGGCATGGCTGACTGCAAGTCATGCGCGACTCCAATGGAGGAGCGGCTGAAACTGACGAAAGCCAGCACCGCGGAAAAGGTGGATGCAACACTCTACCGGAGTATCGTCGGCGGGCTACGCTATCTAGTCCACACGAGGCCAGATATTGCATTCGCCGTGGGCTATGTCAGTCGTTTCATGGAGGACCCCCGAGAGGATCATTGGGCTGCGGTAAAGCGGCTGTTGCGCTATGTCAAGGGGACGGTGGACCAGGGCATCATCTTTCCCAAGACCGGCGGTGGAAGTGGGCTGCGGCTCACGGTTTTCAGCGATGCAGACATGGCAGGCGACATTGATGGGCGGAAGAGCACCTCCGGTGTGCTCGTCTTCCTTGGATCAGCCCCAATCTCATGGCAGTCGTTGAAACAGAAGATCGTGGCGTTGTCTACGTGCGAGGCGGAGTACGTGGCGGCAGCCACAGCGGCATGTCAGGCGGTCTGGCTGCGTAGGTTGCTGGGCGAGCTGACCGGCGAGGAAGCTCGTCCACCAGCTCTGATGGTGGACAACCAGCCCGCCATTGCCCTTGCAAAAAATCCAGTCCTCCATGACCGGAGCAAGCACATCGATACCCGTTTTCACTTCATCAGGGATTGTGTCGATGAAGGACATATTGTTTTGGAGTTTGTCGAATCCGGACGGCAGCTCGCAGACATCCTTACCAAGCCACTCGGCCGTCTTCGGTTCATGGAGCTGAGGACCAAGATTGGAATGATAGGAAACAAGGAAGAGCAGCATGATTAGGGGAAGAATTGTAAGAAATATATAATCTGCTGTTTCCTTGCAGCTTCATTGCAATAGCAATGCAAATTCCTTGCAGCTGCAAAGCACCTTCATAGCAGCCATTATGGGCTGATTTTTCAGCTTAAGTAATTTCTAGGAAAGTCACTAGGTAGTTGTTTTTAGTTCTTATAAATAGGGATGTAGTTTTGTATTTGTAAACACAGCAAAAACTGAATAATCAATACTTTGAGTTGTTCAATATCTTCTTCTATCCTAAAAGTGTCCGTTTGTGTCGGGAAGCATTTTTGCTTACACGAACAGTGCATCCTAGCTGCAAATAAAGACGAGCAGGGACTAACATATATTAGTTGATGTAATGTACATAACAGCTTATAGAATGGGAATGATAACCTCTCTTTCCTGTACATCTTTATTCTCTAGTTTCATCCATCCAAATTATTGAAAATGTCTCAAATTTTGCGAATTCGTGTATGTTGGATTAGCAGATATTGCTAACATGTGCTTCTTTTTAGGCTGAGGAATTCTCATCACGCATTCAGAAGATCGCAGATCAGGGTTCTGCTGCACAGCATGAACTGGTGGGCCCCAAGCTCTGGCTGCATTGAGAATGTGGAGCTGTATAAAATTTTGGGACTTCAAAATTAATGGGCTATACGAAGTTTGGTAATAGATTGAAAACAGTTAACTTGTATTTGGTTGTGCATTTCTGCTCTTTCCAGGGGTATGGAGCTTTATTTAAGATGCTTTCAATGGGGAATTTCGGTACTTTTTTTTTTCTCCTTGAGTTGGAATTTTTCAGCCTAAATAGAGATGAAGTTTGATGTGAGATATGTGGGAAGTTGAGGATATTCTTGTTGCGGCGAGCTTACGGGATTAGTTGACTCGCTTCTAAAATATGTTTTTTGCTATTCATAGCTGTGTCCAACCATGCATGACTAAACTGAGTAAAAAGAAAAAAAAAACCATGNCTCTGTTTTTTTTTTTTATATATAAGAAATTGAAATTACTCTGTCACCTATACATATATATATTTTGGGTAAGACCATTCAAAGTGAAATAAAAAATATGTTGTATGTAGTATATCATTTTGAGGCGGCTTCATTTTGCTGGAAAAAATATATATTATTGACATTTGACAATCAGAGAGTACACTTCGGTTAAAAATTGATAAATTTTGTGGTTACATTTTCTTAATTAAAATATCACTGCCAAAGCAGAACATAAAACAACCAACACTAATTTAGGTGGCTTGACGAAAGTGAAGCGTATGGACTACGGACTATGGACGTGTCTGATCCTTAAATTGCACACAAATTGGTAAACATGCTTGTATATCAAAATTTGTTATCACCAATTTTAGAAAATTAAAATTCGAACCCCAATTTAGCTAGTACATTTATCCAATCAAATTGGCGCTATAAATTGTGTGATTAATAAGCTTTTAAAAAAATAATAATGAAACAAAAAAAGAAAAGAGGAAAATGTAGAAAAAGCAAATTAAAGAAAAAGGCAAATATTCATTTCATTATTTGCATTATTTCGTCTCGACGAAAAAAAAAAAAATTCCATTTTCACTATCCGGCCCTTTACATTGCAATGACATAATTTTATTTATACACACGCAGAAATGTATGATCTTATTTGTGTGAATATATGAATTTCTACGTACGTAAAGATAAATCGGTGATGGTTAGAGATGGCAGAGGGGTCGTACGTTAAGCTGACCAAAGAACAGAACTCTTTGCAGAATATCACCCCCGGCGAGTTAAATCAGCCGATCGATGTTGCTGAGGTACACCTGATTTTCATTTTCCCTTATTTAATCCATAATTAAACATGCGTTTTGATGCACTTTGTTGTTTTTGATTCAGATGCGCAAATTTATTTTGGTACACCAAATTGGCAGTTGATTTTTTGGCAGTTGATTTTGTGGCAGCCATTGTCATCTGTTTTGTGTGTGATGTAGGAAAATTTTGTGTTTGATTGTGTATACTAAGAGTGTTCATTGCTCAATCAAGGAATGATCTCATTAGTTGAATGAAATGTGGGTTTCATTACTGGGATTTGATTAATTTCGTAAAGTTGGGTATCTTAGGATAGAATTGTGGCAATCGGAGAAGATTGAAGAGGTATGTGAGAAACGTGTGGTTTGTTTATTTTTGTTGTTTTAGAATTCAGTTGCGTAAATCTACTTTTGCTGGAATACAATGTATTTGCGGTTGATTTTGTGACATCATTTGTTCTCTGGTTTTGTGTCTGATGTAGAAATTTTGTGTTTGATTGTGTATAAGAGTGTTCATTGGTCAACCTGTGAATGATCACATGAGTTGAATGAATTGTGGATGTCATTAATGGAATTTGATTAATTTCGTAAAGTTGGGTGTCTTACGACATAATTGTAGCTTTGTTCTGGTTCAATTAGGGAGGACTGAAGAAGTAGGTGAGAGTGATGATTCGAATGTGTTTGATGCAGTTGATCTTGCTTTCGATCATGGAAATTTTTGTGGGTTATTAAAAAATGTGTTCCTTAATATGGTGTTTATTGATCAAAGGATTTGTGTGCGAATAGCGACAACAAATAAAGTGGGGACTATTATTGCTTATTGTCCATTTCAATATGTTGGCCGTAGAATTTCATATTAATGGTTTTGATTTCGGAAAGAAAGAAAGAAAGAAAGAGAGAAGACTTTTTGCTTTGTTATATTAATAGGTTATATTAACAGTTAAATGCTCCCAAATGTGAACAATGTGGACAAACTTTACCACCAACCTACTCACCCCCGGCTGATGAGGACTGGATAACAGGGATATTCGGATGTACTGAAGATCATGAAAGTTGTAAGTCCTCATTACCTTTTGCTCTCTGTTTCAGTTCCAATGAGCAAATCCAGATAGAAGTTTCACATTCTAGATCCTTGAAAAATTTGATGTCATGATATGTCTCTTTACAAAACTGAAACACACATCTTGAGGTGGAAATTTTATGAACAGAAATCCAGTGTCCAAGTGAGTAACTGCATATACTTTCATTTTTCCTTCTGCTGGAGAATAGTGATGAATAGAATTTTTCGGATGAAAATTTATGAATTTCAAGGGTCTGATTGGACATGAAGAGAAAATATAGTTGGTGTCATTTGGAAATAGTAAATCAAAAAAATTATAGAGCATGATTAGTAAGGTTGAAGTATGCTAAGCTATTATTATAGTGTACCTTTTGGAGACTTTAATAAAACTTGCATATTGGGATAAAAATGTTTCCTTAAAGACCGAGTCCAATCAAAAAAATGTCTTCTAGGTATAGTGTTTTTTCTCTCGTTTGAGGCACATGATATCAACATTTACAATTACTTTCTCACATATTCCAGGCATAACTGGACTGTTTTGCCCTTGTGTGCTATTCGGGCGCAATGTGGCAACCTTTAACGAAGACATAACTCAGCAAAGCGCATGCATTGGTCACGCAATATGTGTCGAGGGAGGAATTGCCCTTGCCACATTGACAGCTGCATCTCATGGTATAGATCCCGACACAGCCTGCCTTCTTACTGAAGGTTTGTTGTTCGCATGGTGGGTTTGCGGCATCTATACTGGCATGGGTCGGCAATTGCTGCAAAGAAAATATCATCTCAAGGTGATTTCCATGTTTCTTGAAGTTTTTTTATAAACAATAAGTCGGAAGATTTTGCACATTATTATTATTATTATTATTTTGATAGTCGGGGAATAAAAGCGACAACCTAAAAATGTAGGCATGTAGGCTAAATTGATAATTTAGTCCTATTAGATTATCAAGGTAGCAATTTAGATCCTAGTAGAATGACATGTAGTATTTTAAGTCCTGTGATTTAAAATTTTGCTACAATTTCAATATTTTGATCATCAAAATTCCCAATTTATATATTTGGGATGGATTTTATTACCAGCTTAAGTCCTGTAATTTAAAATTTTTGTTGCAATTTCGGAATTTTGAGGGCTAAAAAGACTGAAATTACAACCAAATTTTAAATTACAGGATAAATTGTTATGTCACTCCAGTGGGACCTAAATTGATATCTTAAAAATTGCAATTTAGCCCCTAAATGTACATATATTTTAAATTTTAACGACAAATATTATTTGTTGGGACATGTGGTCGATTTGCAGAATTCACCTTGCGATCCATGCATGGTGCATTGTTGCCTCCACTGGTGTGCCATATGCCAGGAGCATAGGGAGATGAGGCACCATCTTTCGGAAGCCATCTCGTCTGAAGCCACTGTCATAGATCCTCCGCCAGTCCAACAGATGAATGCTGCCAAGCAACACATGAATCCCGAGTCTTCTTCTTCTTCGCATGAGGACGATCATAACAATCTGCAGCTACAGATTGTTCCCCTCTAAATTTCTATTTTGAAAGTTGAAACATATGTAACAGCATAATCTTTGTAGTTTTACATCCTATAGTTTTTTTGGCTAGTTTTTACATTGCGTCACGCTCCAATCTGCACATAGTTAATCTTGAGATAACTCATAGGATAATTGAATTGTTGAATAAATTGTTGGTTGTTTGCACTGCACGTCTCCTATACGTTTACAAATAATGAGTACAAAACATAAACTTTTTTAGATATTGTTATATTGCAAGGCTGGCAAATATATATTTATCAGCGGCATGTCACGATAAAGGGTGTGCATAATTCGACTAAAATCGAAAAAACTGACCAAACCGAAAATTTCGGTTCGGTTTTTATCCGACTCGGTCGGTTTTCGGTTTTAGTAGAATGATTTTTCGGTTCTTTCGGTCGGTGTCGGTTTTTGGACATCAAATGTCTGAAATAACCGAACCGACTGAATATATATATATATATTATTTATATTACATATATATTTTAAAATGTATAGTTAAACCAACCGAAACTCACGAAGAAGTTCGTCGGTTAATGTTCGGTTATTGGCATAATATGGTTCGATTATTTCAGTTTTCTTAGTTCGATTAAGTCGATGCACCTCCTTAGTCACGATTCTGTGATCTATGAATATCTTACCCCACAATTAAATCTGAGTATATGATCCACAAAGACAATTACAACATTCTCGAATGAGGAAACTCTATTATTGTAATTCTTTTTTATGGGCTGTATTTATTATTTCTATTTTTTATATGTTAAAACAATTCTAACATTTCTAATTGTTATTTATGATGATAACGGTAATAATTAATACAATTCATCAACTACTAATATTATCTTTAAAAAAATATTTTATATTATAATAAATAATATTTTCATCAATATCATTTTAGCATCAACCTGCGCGTGGCGTACTAGTTTAAATGTAAGGAACAACATATTGCATTACATGCATGTCAATACAACATGAAAAGAACATGAACAAGATAAATATGCCAAACAAGAAAATAACTATCCTCCAAATATAATAATGCGATAATTAAATCCCAAAAACATTAGAATCCATAGTTGCTTGGAGAGGTCGGGCAATCGATTGCCACTCTTATGCACCTTTTTCTTGAAATGAGAAAGAAGATGGTACACTTGGATTGTATTATTCGTTCTTTGAGTCTCACAAGACCTCCTCTCCTTTGGTCGAGTATTTGAAAACCTCACTCGCTCCCAACTTCCTTAATGGGCTACATGCTACGAAGGGATGATAGGTAGCTGACTACTTTCTCAAAAATGAGAAAGTTGACACACACAGCTCAGAGCCAACAAAAATTAGTCATCACGTAACATGTTCATGGACTAGATGACCTACATCTACTTTACAAATAATGTGTACGAAAACAAAAACTTTTTAGATATTGCCATGGCACGTTAGTAGGTGTTCATCAACATCTTGTCACGATTTCGTGAACTATAAATATCATATCCGACAATTACAACATTATCAAAGCATGATTTTTTTTTATTGGTTGTATTTACTATTTGTATTTTTTTATATGTTAAAATAAAACAATTTTTTTTGTTACCTATAACCTGGCCTCTTTACCATAAATAATATAAAAAAATAAAATAAAAAAAAAATAAAATCATCTTGAAAAACCCTGGTAAAACCCACTCAATCGCCACCTTTTTCCATTTCCATTCCCCTTTGTTATCAGCTACTTTCCCACCGGGCAGGGCTTTTCCCCCCAAAAACCCCTCGATATAAATGGCATCGCGATCGGCCCTAAACTTTCCAGCGCGCCTTCTATACTCTCTCTGCACCAGATCCGTCGGCCCCGTGCCGCCACGGGCATCCGCTGCCGCCCTGCTCGCCGGCAATTTATATATCCGCTCTTTCTCCGCCGGAAGCGATGCCTCCGCACGGCTGAGGGAGGAGAAGGAGGCAACTATTTTGTTTCCTTTTTAAATGTATGTGTGTGTTTTTGCTTGTGTCTTTTATTAATTGAGCTTGTTTTGTTTACAATATGCAGGAGGAAAGGCATGATTGTCCGGAACGACCAGGAAGGAGAGATTGCATGATTACTGCAGATGTAAGTATAAAACCTTTACAATAATCTGGTAGCCCTGATTTTGTCTATTTCGTGTTACTTTCGAACCTCAAATTTTCCAATCGTTAAATGACTCGGGTTAGATGATGAATTTGTGAATTTGTGTTTGACGTGAAGGCTACGTTTGGATTGAGGGATTTAAAATCGATTAAAATCTGAATTTGAAATCCTTCAACTTCTATCATCATCCCAACATGTCAAGGGGGATTCAAACTTGTATATTTGAAATTTATATATTTCAAATCCCTCAATCCAAGTTTTTAAAACCTTGACGATAAACCATAATTCGTGTAGGACGAGGAAAAGTCCGACAGCTTCGGATTTGGAGATAAGAGAAAAGTGAGCCCACAGGAGGCTGCTGATAAGGAAAATGCCAAGAGACCGGCCATTACAGGGCTGCTTGATGCCTCCCTCGCCTCTAGATTTCTTTCCGTACGCCAATCTCTCTTCTTTTCTCTCTCTCTCTCTCTCTCTCTTTCTTATTTTAATTCTTTTTGTTTTATGTGTTACGTAATTGGAAATAGATAATAATCACCCTCAAGAGGTTTAATTCTTTGTAATTGAATTAGTTTTTTTGTTCTTCTACACGTTATTGCCTTTGTTCCGGTATTTAATTTTATTTCTGATTGCAATGCACTGTGGTGATGATTTCAGTTTTCATCTCTGTTTATAGCGGCATACTGGACTGGACTTCCGTTAATACCCGAATTTAATTTGTGTAGGATCCAATCATCACCAATAAGTGTGATCAACTTGCCAAAGACGAGTTTGTTGTTCAAAGGGCACAACAACTTCTGGAGGCACTCCAAGCTTCTACAGTTCTCGAGGATGGGGCGTTTAATGACTCTGCATTCGAGCATTTTGCTCTAGTTATGAGAATATGGAGAAATGAGTTGTTCAATTCCGGGATTCAAGGATTGCTTGTCCAGGTCTATTTTCTAGTTTTTGTTTTTTAACTCTCGGTCGATATCACTAGAATACTTGAGCTATGCACAATATTCAATTCTTGAAACAGATAATTTTTTGCACTCATAGGATTGCGTCGTTCCTGACATCATAGAAAAACTTTCGAATGAAGTGGAAAATGAACAAATTGGAGAACGTATGTGTCGTATCAAGGCAGATCACAACTTGAGTGATATTCTCCAACTCAAAAGGCCTCCTGCTACAATGATAAGGTTCGTGTATTATGCAGCGTTGTGTGGTTGTGTGAGATACTCCTAGGTATGTTTTCATAGTCCATTTTAACATCTTCCAGCATCTTTTAATTTGTACGAACGTGCATTGTTCTTCTAGGGGATTCCTTATATTTGTTAATTTCAATGTTCTGCTATACATTTACGTCCGTCTTAAATGATTATAGTTTCTCTCTCGTGAAGGGGACTTTTGATCATTTTACTTGGGTACTGGAGTTATAAAAAGCTGCCTTTGCCTTTGGGGTTTGATGAAAAATTGATGTGTTTTGATGGAGACTTTGGACATAAAGTCGCAGAAGAGGGAACTGAGAATATCGAAAGAGAAACTGACATGGATATGGACAATTACATGGAGATTTTGGAACTGGAGGTAGTCTTGCAGTTGTGGTTTTTGCTTTATATATACACACACACACACACACACATATACATAGTTAAATACATCGTGTGCGCCGAGTTCAGTTATATCTTCATTTAATATTTGTTATTAATTCATTTTTTTTCGTATTCATTACTTAATTTATTTTCTTTCCTTCTTTTTTTTTTTTCTTATGAAATTCCAGAAACGCGCAGCATGGTTAATGGAGCATGGGACTCCCATTCAGATACTTGAAGATGTATATACCTTATTCCTTACCCTAAATTTTGTTTAGTGTTGAAATATGCTCTTAATCACCTATAATCATTATCACTTAGTGATATTTGTAGAGTTTGTAAATACACACACACACACATACATATATACATATATATATATGAATGTCAGATTAATTTTATTCCTTTAATTTATTTAGGAACCATTCATTTACGAGTTGGCCAAAGGCCTAAAACTAGATTCGCGCCTTTTTGGGAAAGCACAACAATGTATGGAATACCTTCACATTTTTGATCCTAAAGATGATGGGGCCTTGTTTTCCGCTAAACTACATTGTGATTTAGCACATGAAGTTTTGGAGGATCCCCACTTCATTCAATTGCTTAGCGAGAGCATTAAGATGGTATCTCACTCCATTTTAACCTCACTTGTGGAATAAAACATATCTTCTCCAACATGTGGGCCTAATCTTTCTTTGGTAGTCCAATTGCCTTTTTCTATTATTTTTTTGGTCGTTTTTATCAGGACTTTGACGGCCGTCGGTTTGTAGAAAAATATGGCAAACGGGCTAAGGTTGGAAATGAGGATGTGTTGGCTACAGTTAAGAATATCATTAAAGATCCTGGCTTCCATCAATACATGGAGCAGATTGAAAAGAATGAAGTTTGTGCTGCTGTGAGGTGTTTCATATTTCCCTTATTCCTTAATAGTGATCAATCATGATTTCTTTCGCTCAGCAAGATTTATCGCTGAAACAAGCATTCGTTCATCTCTATCTCAGATTTTCTTTGAGTATTTTAATCGTGCACTGGATGTACGATGATGTGCATGAGAAGGTTCTGGTGAAACTTGATGAATATGCTCAAGCGGAATTGGATGCAAAAGCTGAAGCTTGGAAAGCTACGGGTTATGACAATGTAGAGGCCAAAATCTGTTATGTTACTAGATTTGCTGGTGATTTAAAGGTACAAGCTTAATAATTATATTTTCTTGTTAGCTTTCTTTTCTCTTTTATATTATCTCTTGTGTTTGCATCCACGTCTTTGTTTTTTTATTTTTTACTGTATTACCACCAGGGTCTGAATGAAGCTTTGGTTAAGGTGTACGGTAATAGATCTTATAAGCACGTTTTTGATGAGGTAAATAATACTCACCACTTATCCATAGCAATTTAGTTTATCGAGTCATATTTCACATTGTACCAAGTCTCATCTCCAATCTATCTCTCTTGGTGTTGATTTTTGTTTTCTTTTTCAATTCTTTATGTTTTAATTTTTCTTGTATTTATTACATTATTCAATGATGTTAGTTACCTGAATGTTTCGAGTTAAACTTTTTTCAGATTAAGATTGTGCAATTTCATGGTGAGGCTATTACTAGAATGGATCAGTTCGACGTCACAATGGAAATGAAACCACATTTGTACAAGGGTGTCTGCGAATATTGTAGTCCTCGAATCCATGAGTTGCATGCATGATGACTAATTTGTTGGCTCTAAGCTATGTGTATCAACTTTAGTATGGTAGGTTTGCATGTGAACTGGCCTAATGTTTATGGGATTTAATTCTCGTAATATTATATTTGGAGAAACACCATAAGTCTTTTGATATGAAGCAGATCTTCAATGCAAGAGTTTGAGCTCAGTGTAATTCGATCAATTTATGACGAATTGACGAAGCAAGTCATACTCGACCACTCGAGCACATGTGGAGGGAATTTAAGGTTTAGACCCTGAGAGTGGCCATTTGTATGACTCATTCCATGTTGGTTCAATATTCTATGTTTAAATATATATTTACGTGTTTCTTAAAAGTCAAATATAGATGAAACAAATTTGAAATTTATATGCATAATATGTATGATGCTTTGCTAAGCATCTTATATTAAGAGGAAGCTGCAATCCCATGTATATCGATTTAACTCAAGGTGACAAAAAAATTTGGTGTTCTTTCTGGCGAGCGCATAACTGGTTGCCACTGCCTTATACCCCACAAGAATCTACAAGCTCGATGATGTTATCTCTATATTTGCACTAATCAGCTTTTTTTTTTTCAGAAGAGGAACATTGCTATTTGATGAGGGTTCATTTTACAAGTAATTTTTCAATATACATATATTTTGATTTTATTCAATTATTAAAGTTGCAAATTTTTAAATTTTTGGCTAAATCGTTCACTGGCCGTGAAGTAACCTCAAAGAACA